AACCACAACGTGTGGAAAGTTAACATATAACACCTGGTGTCACACATGACTCTCTCTTTCTTTTTCTTAGTTTGGGATAGTCAGGTGGTTAGGGCGCTCGACTCGCAATCTACGGGTCAATCCCACTATTCGTTGGTAAAAGAGTAGCCCAAGAGAAGGCGGTGGGTGGTAAAGACTAGCTACCTTCCCTCTAGTCTTTCACTTCTAAATTAGAAACAACTAGCGCAGATAGGCCTCGTGCAGATTTGCGCGAAATTCAAACCAAAACCAAATATTTTCTCTTTGGTAATCTAGGTTTTAATTTCTAGCCAATCAACCTCTATGGAGACAGAGCTGCCATGGAAAATTGCTCTAACTTGATTGGTTTCGCTACAGAATAAATGATCGGCTTTAGGCTTCCTTTGACTTTTGTTCATTGCCGTTGATTTCCGGGTTCAAACACTAGTGTTGAATGACCTGCTTGTCTGATGTCCTGCAGTTCCTACCATTGTATAAAACATCTTAGTGGTTATTTAAAGCCAACACAGATTAATCAGAGAAAATATTTCTTGATATGTTATATGCATAAATATTTCTGAAGCTTGTTTTGTTTGTTGATTGTTAGGTACACGGCTGCACTATAATCCTTTTGTATTATGCCTACCACGGGAATCGAACCCAAAATTTTAGTTATAATAGGCCCTTAAGTTACCGCTGTGTCATCATGAGACAATGTTTGTTTTGTTGCACATTTAATAGTATTATGTATATGATATTACATCGCTATATGATTGATGATAATTTAAATCATCACTCTATACTAGCCCAGCGCATTTTCCAGTCAGTAGAACATATAATAATATTTCACTTTACCCACTTTGTTTTCTACTGCTGCCGACAAGGCCTTTCGCTCAATTCCAGAGCTTATCAGGACGACATAGTTAAAGCATGCAAGTTCTTATTTGAAACGATATTTATGTCGGTAATTTATGAAGCAATAAGTCTTAGTCTATAAAACGCTGACAAAGCTTGAAATTTATTTATCATATTTGTTTCATAATACATGTTAAATGACTGATGTGGTTTAAATTATATCACCCTCGCTCCCATGCAATACCGTGCTACACTGGCGAAGGTATTCTACAATCGAAGGCTTACTGCCATTATTCTGAATTACCACTTCAACAATACCAAACTTCAGGTAAAGTTACATCTATTCAGGAACAAAACATTGCGTATAGTTTTAATACCAACATTATGAATAATATCAATTTGATTGCTATTAAAAGTATAGTGGAAAAATAATGTATATTTTCCAACAAAGATCATTCTTTGATGTTTAAGTTTATTATTAGCTTCAAATACCAGTATTTAAACCTGTTTTTGAATTTTTATGGCTATATTGTGAAATGGTTTGATTTACGTATTGGCAGTATTCTATATTCATTAATAAACAAATAAAATACACTCTATTTTTATGAATGATTGCGATTATCTTGATTGTCACAAATTTTAAAAACTGCCATATCGGGTCCGTGGACAATGGCACATTTGTAACTGAAATAATACCGCGCCACTGTGCGTGAGAATCGCTAGAACTTCTCAAGACGAAGTTTGTAAAACAAAAAAGAAAAATTTAAACTGGAAACTTACTAAATACGAATACTGAGTAGCTTATGAAATGTGGCCTTTCAGTATTTTGGGAGTAAAACTGTCAGGCAGCTTAAAAACACGCGCCTCACGAAGCTAAGATCATCAGGCTAGTGCTTGATACCAGTTAGCGGTGTTTTCAACTGTTTCACTAATCATCGTTATTCGTTCGGGAAGTTGTTTCTGTTATCAGCTCTCTTAGTAGCTCTAAAAGGTTATAGAGTGTACTAATCACCAAACTGATTCTTTCATTGTATGCTTTACTCTTATATTAATTATAGAAAACACAGGTACAACATGTAGTTCGAACAATAAGATGGAAAAGCTAGACATGTTTGGCACCATCAGGACATGCCCTTCCTGTTATTGTGAGCTTATTAAGACGTAGCTGAGTGAAACAGTTCAGTCTGGAACTCTCTTTTCGGTTGTGTGTGTTTATATTACGTATTAGGAGAAGGAAAAACGCGGTTTCAATTATTATAACAATGTTCCTGAATACTTACTGCCTTTGTAACTACATCTTCCATCGTCAGTTGTGCTCCGTCTGATTACGCTTTATTGCCCTACACTGGAATTTACATTGTAAGAAGCTTCTTCAAGGTTAATATTAGACCTTATATCTTGACTAACTTCCCACAGATCTTCCACTGTACTCGGACATTAGCTTCGAGGACCATGTTAAAACAGACTGAAGATACAACAGTTTATTGTGGCTGGATCAAGAAATTTGGCAGATACGTGGTCGAATGGGATTGTTGTAATTGTAATTTCTTTGATTATATCTCTTTCACAAAAGAGCTACTAATTTCGAGGTGTTGCTGTGGGTTGGCTAAAAGGTGTGTATTTGGAACCCATTGCTTTCCCAAGTTCTATACTGTTACACTTCCAAGGAGAACACTGAAGGCTATTTGTTTCAAAAATATTGTGCCTTTTAGCTCTGTATATTTTAACAATTGTACTATACGAACATCCATCTTCAGAGAGACTGTACCATATTATCGAGTAATAATAATAATAATCTCCTTGGCGGTAGTGTATTGTCGAATCGTCGAGAACGAAAGACATTGATGCTAAGCACGTCGCAGCGATTCTCCTTAGTGTTATCATCTACAAATCTACCTCGTAAAATACGATTAACTCTCTATATGTACTTATATTGTAATTTATTAGATACTTCATCTGTCTTAATGTCTCATAGTTAGAGCACTATCATAAGTATGGTAGTAATTACTGTAGGAATGGGCCAGATGTGCAATAAGTGCAATATAAATTAAAATCTCAACACACTGCAAACAAAACTTTATAAGTACTTTACACACACTATTGAGTTGTAAACAAACTAAGTAACAAGCCACCAAAGCACTTGAGATATTTAGTAAGTAAAAACAAAAATTCCACAAAACCACAAATTTGTCAGTCTGACTGACTAACATTGTTAGAAAGGAATAGCTCTCTCCTGCCTTCACTAAATCTAAATGCACATGAATGAATTACGCTACCCTGGCTAGAAGTGGTTATCTTAGTTTGATTTATAACCTTGGTAATAACAATAACTATCTTGCAACATTAATAATGAGCTAACAATAGAATTGTAGCCATATTCATGATTAAGAGCACACTATGTGAGTTGCCTAGTAACAACCCGCCCTCATACATACATACATACATGAAGACGAACGCTACCACTGCCGAAGTCTAACACGTCTTTGCTCGAGCACTATGGACTGAAAACAAGAACAATAAGATGAATAATTTACCGTTGCATTGTTTTCAAACTAAGTGTGACGTATTGACATGTAAGGTTGTACTTGAAACAGTGCAATTTTTGAAATATGCCTTTCATGGAAACAAAACTAGAGAAAAGGAGAAAATCTCATGCCGATAACCTTGAAAACGTTTTGTCCCAGTGAAGAGAGCATTACTGCAAGAATACAGATAAAGTTAAAAACAGTAATGCTGTTAAACAAGCCTTAGTCTTTAATCCAGCCAAAGAAAAGGCTGCCACCCTGACTAGACGGAAGAAAAACTATAGCAAAGATATCAGCAAAAGCCAGGAAATGTCGAGAGATAGCTACGAGAACGATAGGCCTAGAGCCCAGTCGCTTTCGAAACTTAGTACAAAAAAAGCTATAAGACAAGTGTAAAAAAATTAAATAAAAAATTAGGAAGTAAGAATGGGAGCACGAATAAGTAAGGAAACAAGGTAAGCATGGAAGAAATAACATTACAACACTTGGTAGTTTTTGACATTGTGTAATCTCAAAGTGGGTGTGGTCATCGTTCCACCCATTCTTACTTGCTCCCGAGACTTGAATTAAGTTTTATCAGTAGCTAATCATTTCTTAATACTCAACAAATTAAAAATTTTCAAAAATATATGGTTTATTAGTCATTGCACTTTTAACATCAGTTAATGTATTTGAAAACGTATGAAGTTTCAATTTTAGCAAAACATTTCCCCCTTATTTTTCTATTTAAACATAAGCTAATCTATTTCTTTATTGTTTTAATTAAAATTATTTTTCTTTTTAGTAGATATCTTATGTTCTATTTCACAAAACAATATCGCAGTAATATGAGTAATTCATTAAAACATAATTAACAAGAGGCAAAAAAAAAGACTTCTTTCCGACAAATAGTAGTTTTCAAATTTCAAAATACTTCCAGAAGTGAAAAACAGTGTAGATCATAAATAAACTTTGACAAATTACTAAGATATGGAAACTGAAGTTACTGGTCTGGAATACTTCGCCAAATTCACGACAGTTCTTAAGTTTAAAATAGTTAATTTTATTGGAAAATGCTGGTTGGCATTTAACACGTGTAAGTCAACTATTAAATGAGATTAATCCTTTGTATCAATCATGTTGGAAACATTTATGGCAGATAAAAAAAATTAGTACAAAGTATGTACCCGAAGCCCACACAAATTCTCTCTACTAGACACACGTGTTTGAGAATACAAGCTATCCTTCGGCTCACAGACAATGTCTGGAAATGTCTTTCGGCAGGTGTCAGATTTGACGTTTTCCAGGAGGATGTCCCGTGATCCATTGACGTCATTCATGACGTACGTTCAGCGTCTGTAGACTTGTGGCCCTGCTATTAAATTGTTTACCAGATTAATACCTTTTCTATGCTTAAAAGCTTCAGTTACACTAGTTCAATTACTAGAATTTACCCTTCGACAATTTTTATTAAAATATATTTGTTTTTGTTTATCAGATCAGCTAACTATCTAGTTACAAGTATTTGCATTTATAAAAGGAATAACGATGAAGGATTCTGTACTTTGTGTGAGTTTTTATGGGATACTTGCATGTCAAAAAATATGTTTGTCAAATCCTATTCCAGTTTTTTTTTCCTAACAGGTCAACAATGCCTACGTGCGAGACCAGTGTCTGAATTCTATCCAATGGAAGGTGAATATCAACTTGTTATTAAATCGAAATAATTAAAAATCTAACTTCAAACTTACTAGTTTCAGTAATTTGGAAATTAAACCGCATTAGATTTTTTTCTGTGAAAGAAAACTAATTTTGGAAACAAAAGTATTTTTTCTTCACAATTACATGTACTTTAGCAATGCATATGTTAGGTTATAAATGTCATCAAACATTCTGTACAAAAGCGCTTTTGTAAGATACAAATAGATATTCTAAAAACAATGAAAAAATATCGTGTTTAAGATGATAAGAGACGTCTGCGTTTTTTTTTTATTTCTGGTTGTTAGTTTATTGCTATTTACTCTTCGTTCGATTTTAATGTAAGATACACTTTATCTAAATTATTTACCAGTGTGTGCGAAACATTGCCATAGTTTGACAAAAATTTGAAAATATCGAAAAACAATCTTGTATATCACTATACAGTACAAATTTGAAACATTTTAATTTACGTCTTTGCACAGCACAAATTTAGACAGGAAGGATTTATTTCTATTATGACATAAATGGGCATTATATATATATATATATATACTATTGAATAGAGAGTTTATACTGTTAACAACATGTTGCTGTACTAGTGAATGTACACCAACTGGATATCGTAAAAGCAGTGAACTTTCTGTTTTTAGTGGACGTTTTTTAGTACTTTTGTTTCCCTGGAAATCTTTATCAGTGCTGTTTCATATATGTTAACATGTGTTTGCAAAATATCTAAGCAATTTAAGTGTCCACGACTGAAAAAAAAATATCCAAATATTTTTGTCGTAGACGTAGTTAGATATGATTACCCAATTTTATAATTAAAATAACTGTAATATCCCGATTCTAGATGTTCTGTGTAAACTTCTTCAGTTATTTTATACCCAATTTTATAATCAAAATAACTGTAATATCCCGATTCTAGATGTTCTGTGTAAACTTCTTCAGTTATTTTATACCCAATTTTATAATCAAAATAACTGTAATATCCCGATTCTAGATGTTCTGTGTAAACTTCTTCAGTTATTAATACTAGTTCTATTAATAATATGTTAGGCGAGAGACAGTGTTTTCTGACATTGAGCTCAAATATACTGTTCTTCTGAATGCACGCACCAGGAAGATGTTGATGATGAGTGCGGTAACATAATTACTTTACTTAGTAATTACGTTTTGTTCTTGTTTTTACGATCCTGCCATACTTCACACTTTAGGCTAGTGACAGAGTATCGTAACATGTGACCTTTCTGTTAAATTAATAGTTTCTTGCATGAATATTATTTGCTTGAAATTAATCAGGTGATTGTTTCGTGTTGAACTATAACGATTAATATTGAGAAACACTTCACTGTACCGTTTAAAATGTTTCATGTTGATATTTTCGTAATGATATATAACGTGTCCGGAAAAACGCGGATGTGATTAAACTACAGTTGGATCCGTTTCTCACTGCCATGATATTCCATACATACTGTATTATTCCTCTGTTGGTCTGATAGAATTATAGTACCCACTGTAACAGTGTGTGTGAAGTCTCCTTTCTCAGAAACACAAGTAAACAATTTTGTTAACATAATTTCCGGACATATATATGAGCCTCGCCTTAAAATCTTGAAGGAGCCGTTTTTTTCTTCCCACGTTCACGCTAAGAAAAAATTGTATATTGAAAACAAAAACATTAACTGACAATTAAAAAAACTTCAATATCAGTAGTTTAAAAAAATTAAGAATACACATAAAAATGTCGTTTAAACCTAAAGTTATTTTGATATTCAAAAGTGTGTTATAACAAAGTTAATTTTCATTTGTCAGAGCCATCCCTAAGAAAAGAAAAATATATCATGAATTAAATTTGCTTTTTAATGTACAAGATACTGTCAAATATATAGCACAGTTTGTTGTAAAATACTCATATGACTGCAGAAAGTATATTAACTTCGTCTTAAGGCTCATTTATTTGTATCTTATAAAGTTCATTGCCAGTATGTACCTTTTGTGGCAAAATATTTATATAATTGCAGAAAGTATACGTTTCTATATTATTAGATTCCGAGCCTTCGTATTTTGTTGTAAGACACTCAAATAATTGCAAAACACACTTGCTTTACGTGCCGTATTAGGTTTATTTGCTGCATATTTTATTGTAGGATACTAATGTAATTGCAGAAAGTACTTGCCATCTTAGTCTTATTAGATTCATGTTCTGTATATTTTGATGTAAAATTCTATTAGAGTTGTAGAAAGTAGATGCCATCTTACTATTACTAGGTTCTTGTTCTAAATACTGTATTGTAAAATACTTATATGAATTCATAAATTATATGTTTCTGTCTTGTAAAGTTCATGACCTATATCTTTTGTTGTAAAATAAATTGCATAAAGTATTTGCCATCTTAGTCTTATTAGGTTCATGTTTTATATGTTTTCAAATTCGATGACGAGGAACCCACTTTGAGACTAATAATGGTTGGAGACGGCTTGAATGGGTAATGAAGAAAAGCTTTAATATAAGTTTCTTCATTACCCATTCAAGCCGTCTCCAACCATTATTTTATATGCTTTGTTGTCAAATAAATTACATAAAGTATTTACCATCATAGTCTTATTAGATTCATGTTTTATATACTTTGTTGTAAAATACCAATGTCATTTCAGAAAGTACTTGCCGTCTTAGTATTATTAGGTTCATACTCTATATACTTTGTTGTAAAATACCAATGTCATTGCAGAAAGTACTTTCCGTCTTAGTATTATTAGGTTCTTGTTCCACACATCATTTTCTTAGTTAACACATATTAGTCTGTGAACACTTCATCCTGAAACTTTAGAATAATAAACATGATGAATGCATAATTTGAAAAAAAAATACATCTATTCTATGACATTTCGCATCTAACATCAACAAACGTTTCCACTGAAGTTGATAATATGCAATAAAAAAAATAAAAATAAACAGTAAAATAACGGAAATTGTTAATTTCTTTGGAAGATTTAGTTTTATAGTTAATAATTTTCCCATCCGTATTAATATCTTCATTAGAAAACCGAACGTTATAGAAGTATTATGTTAAGAGACTGTTATGTGAGAGAGAATACTGAAATTCTGAAACTAAGAAAACTAGAAGATAAAATTTTGTGCCAATAGTTTTAAGATAAAATACAGGTGTAATACGGACATTTGATTACATGTCTTATATTTAATACGAACATTATCGTACGTGTGTGATTTCAAAGTCTAGTATATTGAGTACTTCAGTAACTGTATCGTTAACAGAGAAAAAAGCGGAAGATAAACATATCCGGTTCGACACAGTGTTTTAAACCGTGACGAGTTAACACGTAGCTTTCAAAAAAACATCCATTTTAACGGCTTAATTGATGTATAAGAGCAACAAAAACTCTGGTCTTAGCAACATATTTATAAAAACTCAGTTGATCACCTGGTCTTAGCAACGTACTTATAACTCTGCTGATTACTTATTTTAGCTGAGTAGTTAATCATTCTGTTGATTACTCAGTTTTAGTACTGTAGTTAGTAACTCTATTAACAATCCTTTCTTAGAAATTATAACTCTACTGATTACCCGTTAAAATCTTAGCAGTGTTGTTAAAAATTGTTTATTGCCTGGTTTAGGAAAGTAAGTAAAGAGGATATGAACATCTCATGGTTTTGTAAGCGACTTCAAGCTGTAAAATTTCATGAAAAAAATCATATACAATTTGCAGTTTCTTCTATTAAACATATACTATGAGAAATATAGGTAGTTTTGAGAAGTAATGAGATTATTAACAAAAAAAAACATGTTTGTCGTAACAAGAAGTTTAGAAAATAATAATAATGATAAAGGAATCTATTACCAAGAATGAAATCCTAATCGAACCTCGAAATGCTTACAAATTTAGTCATTTTATAACCCCAGTATAGTTGAAGACTTATTTTTAACCTTTTTAGGTTTCAAAGGTGTGGCCGAAATATGTTATATAACAGAAAGATGCGAAATACATTATGGAGACAACCACAGCACTGCATACAATGATTTGTAGTTTTTGTTTGAAGTAATATATATCAGTTATTCCACACTTTCAGTCTTTCAGGAAAGATGTTTAATGCCTTAACCTAGTCTTTCAATTTCTCATACTCTTTAACTAAAGACACGTTTTATGAAGCAATTAATGGGTTTATGTTTAATTATTCTCCAGAGAAGCATTCTGAAGTACCGCATGGTTCTCGTTAACAGTACCAGGCCTGACGTTCTCTTAAAGGAGCTAAAAGTAAGTGTAAGACTCGTGTTGTTAAGATCAACTCATTAAATGAAATGTTAAAATAAACAAACTGCTTTAGTTAATTATATTCTACTTTTGAATGATTCTAGTGTGTTTAGAAAAGTGGAGAACTCTGTGAAACGGAATATAACTGAGTGTTAGAAGGTGGTTTTTTACTATTGAAAATATATATAAGCAAACAAAAAACAACAACTATCAGTTACGTTTTTTGTTTATACTTAGGATCAATTGCCATTAACTCTTGATCTACCTACGTAGATAAGAATTACAATTAATCTAGTAATTAATACAGTTAATTCAATATACTCACTAGAAGTATGCAATGTCATAAAGCAAAAACTTATAATGATTAGAATGCACTGATACATAGTTTGAAAGCACAATACCAGCCTCATGTTTGCTTAGTAATTTTCATCGTTTAAGGCATCGTATTGTCGTATAAGGTAGATTTAACACATTTTCAAAACTTAAGTTATAGTACCCCATTTTATTAGATTCCCATCTGGCTAATGCCATCTGGAGAAAAAGGATTTTAAACAATGTTTGGGTAAATCTTTTTACCTTTCATGGAATGATTTTGGTGATTTTAAAATCAGCTACAGCATTTTACTAATATTTACAAATTTGTTCTTAATGCCCGATAAGAGCCGTTATAGTTGGAATTTTGGGTGGCATCCATATACAACATTCTGCAGTTTTCAGATTTTCCATAGACTTGAATGATATGTGTGTTTGTGTATCTACATCATATCTATTGACACATATTACATATGGTGGTCCCTGTTGGGGAGTAAATTCACTTAAATATGATTTCAACGATATAATATATATATATAACTGTAGTACTTTGCTAACAGCATATTCGTATTCCGAATCTAAGAATATTTCGGTAAACCACTTAAAAGATGCATATATATATATTCAGACTTAAAAATTGCTTTCTAATACTATTATAGATCATTAAAAAAATCTATTATGATTTGTTTCTGCCCTTCCTTAACTTTATCTATTTTATCAATCTTTCCAAAAATTAAGTGTATTTTGAACAGTAATTTACCAACTTTCCCATGTTTTTCAAGGTATGTAATCTAAAATTTGAAAACCTAACCAGATCTAATTTATACGTGTATGTTAAAATGGAAATACCGTCTTGAAAATAGCTCCCAAAGTGCCTATCTGTCTACTTGAATATCTTACAAACAGCTTATGTTATGAATGAACGTCTTGGGTCTAAACATAAGGATTCAGAAAAAACAAAGTATTTATTCATAAAACCCTGTGTATTTTATAGTATCTTTCAAACTTTTGTGTATATTTTCTCTTACGTAATATATTTTAAACATTATCAAGTTATAATTATTTTATTCCTGTTCTTATTTTGTAATGGAAATATGGTGTAGTATTTTGTTATATAACTTATGTTGTTTTGAACAAGACATCTGTCTTCCTATCCGAGATTATTTATTAACATTTTTGAACGCTCTTCTTTAGCAGAAAGATAAAATATTATTCATCCCACTTTCCTAGTTCGTAAAGTATCGTTCTGATAAATAGTCGTTTCTTAATGCATCTCTGATGGGCTTATATTGTTGTTTTTTTATTATCGTATAGAGGTGCTTTAACTGTTATGCAAGGAAGTTATGTGGAGAAAAACTATATACAGGGCATATTTCCGTCTTACTTTCTACGTGTTTGTTTTATTTATTAATCACTTTGTTTGTTTTTAAACTGAAAACTGCACAATGGGCTATATGTGCTGTGCGAATCTGGCGCTATAATCCCGCAAACTTACCGCTGAGACACAGTGGGATAATTTATTATTAATTAACAAACCAGGTAGTGAATGTTCCACCAAATATTCAATCTAGTTTATTTCTGTCAGGCATAAGTCGTTGTAACAGCCACTTAAAATAGACGAAACTGGGTATAGTTTATTTCTTGGTGTTTTAGCGTAAAGCTACACAATGGGCTATCTGCACTCTGTCCACTGCGGAGAATCGAACCCCGAATTTGGCGTTGTAATTCCATAAACCTACCGCTGAGCCATCGTGAAAGTTAATTGTGCTTTTATCCACTAGGATTATTTTTATGTGATGTTTTATTTATGTTCATGGTAAAAAGAAAGATAGACGTGCAAAATCGAAATTCTAAATAAACTCTGAACACTAGAGATTTTAAAATATATACATCATGGGTATTATTTGTAAGAAAAATTGTTTATTCAAAAACAAACTTGAACATGGAAACACAAAATAAACAGAACTTTGCCACAGGTTTTGGACATGCATAAAGTACACAAGAGGGAATCCTCAATAACCGCGACACTTGAAATTCTTTTAGACAGGATTAGAGTAAATTAATCTACGAGACCTTTATTTTCTTTTTTATTAGCTATATTTCTGTGCGCCAACAATACCAAGCCTAGATCGTGCGCATACCCGATTCGATTTTATTGCTCATCAGTATCTCTACCAGCCCACCCTCAAATTGAAATTATTTTTGGCACGATTAGAGTAAATTAATTTATGAGACTCTGGGCGTAGTCAAATGCATCAATCGAAAAGGTTTGACCTCCTGAGTCCAAAAATGTAATTAGATGTCAAATCGGTCAATAGATGACGGAGCTACGAGCTAAAAGAAAAACACAAACTCAGAACCATTCTATGAGCCGCTATGCCGCGGCTAAAAGTAAAAATAATTTTGAAAAATACAATCTGTATGCATGGATGTATGTTATGTACGAAGATAGTAATGTGTAAGACAGTTTAATTACTTCTCACTAGTGTGTAAATATTAAAACTTTACCTAGTTATCTCATTTGTCGTTTGAGAGTTTCTAAAATTAGAAACAATCAAGCACTGATTAGAGCCACAACTGGTGTTGATTTCTTTTCAAATCTTCTGTTTCTTTTCTTACAGAATTTAATTGAACTGGCTTTAACTACGCCATTACAGGACGAGGCTATTTACCAAGGTCCCTTAGATATCATCTCAGAGCTACTAAGAACGGTAATTTCAATATTTTAATTGTTTCTATTCTTTGGCAAGGAGGATTAGCATAATTTTAACACTGTAGATAGAATGAAAAAATACAAAATAGGTACTTTAACTATATTAGATAAGTTTGTTTCAGACAAAGCCACATTCGATTACTTACTGTGCCCACTGCGGGGAATCGAACCCAGGATTTTAGCATTGTATATCCGTAAACTTACTGCTAAATAATAATAGCATTACCAGTTGTGTTCAGGCAACATAAGTATTATATAATACTAAGACGATGTTATTTCAATTTAATCCTGTCTGATTGACTCAGAAAGTAGTAGTTTAAATTACACAGTTTTACACTTGAAAGAATTTTGTTTGAGGTGTCTTTGAGTTTAGGGCAAAACAAAAGATATATGGTACGTAACAGTAAAAAGATAACAAAATATTATATTATACAACAAAAAGTAGACGTTTTTCAATCACAACCAGTCTAACTAGTAAAAGCCTCTAAATAGTTTTGAATATTTTAAATATTTCGTCCAAAACTGTACAAAGAGCGTAGCTGTCCCTAATTTTGAACTGGTAGACTAAAGATAAGACAATTGGTCAAAGAACAAATCACCAACTCTAGGGCTTCTCTTGTCTGAACAAATAGTGAGACTTAGCTGTCACTCCTATACCACATTAGTGGGTCCACAGTGTTTGCGACTGTGCCGCGAACCTTGATCATCAGGTAGTAGTTATCCCTGTACTTGCTCCTTCAAAGGATGCCGCCTAACGCTGATAAGATGCCTCATGGAGAGGGAGGGAAGGGTGTTCAATGATGTCATCAAAGATAATGACGCCTAGTTCCACAAATTATCACTAGAGGACGCGTTGTGAGTTTTCCATGATAGAGGACCATGGCGTCATAGTCCCACAACTTGTCACCAGAGGACGTGTTGTTAGAGACGCGTTGCTAGGCCGCCATGATTTAATAATTCCAAAAAGTGTTGAAATTATTGTTCGATACCCGACAGACGACTATGACGTAATAGATCTACGAAAACAGAGACGTCATACAATGACGCACGCGATATGTGTCTCAACATGACTATATTTAATGAGTTTAAATCATTAATTTAATAGTTAATTAAATCGTCCTAAAAAGGACATTTAACACTACTAAATTAGTTAATTAATTCATTTATAATTAAACCATCCTAAAAAGGACGCTTAACACTAATTCATTAGTTAATTATATTTCCTGATCATTTATATGTAAATCATCCTAAAAATGACGATATCATGCATTAATTAAAATTTACACTTTCACTAGTTTGACTATTTTCAACAAAATATTTCTTTTTGCACATGATACTATATAGTTTTATCTTATACGAGTTTTACAAGGGTGAACACTATACTTCCACATATGATC